TTACAAAATGCATCACATTCCATCATAGCACGTGGTGAATAAAAGAGAACAGGCTAAAAACAGGTGAGGCCATCATGAACAGTATCCCTCAGGGAACTTTTTTAAGATGATATAAGAACTGCTGGAGTGGCGAGCATCGGTGGTGGTATGCGTGGTGAGTAGAGAACGAAGAAGGGCTGGGAACTTGCCAAAGAGTGTTTTCTCGATCAACATGGACCACTGAATTTGTGGATGTGGGTGAAGAGAGGGCTAATTGAACAGGGGAGTAGTACAGTTCACAGTGGCGTGTATGAAAGGCAGCACCAGTGACCAAGCGGGTGGCAACATGTGTTATCGTAGTTTGCGAATCACATGCGGAAAATTAATTTGAGTGGATTTTCTAATTATTTAAACATGATTTGAAAAGCAAGGCCTTCTCGCTGGCAGAATTACTATCGGTAGCACTGACCTACATTTGGTTCGCCTCGCAGCATAGTTGCCAAAGTCTTATTTAAACATTTTAAGAACCCCCTCAAAAAAAAAATTTAAAAAAAAGATTCCAGCTGCTTCGAATTAACTTTGGCAAATGATCATGACCTGGATGACTAAGAATCCACATAGACAAGAAAAACCAGAAATCACATTTGTATTTTTTATTGGTATTGTGACAATAAGTTAAAAATGACGGAATGCATTTAGCCTGTTAGGCCCATGATTTATAATTTCAATTGTAATATTGGTTCCGTAAAATTCTACATTTATTCTCAGCATTCTATTCGCTAATTTCCTTTCATCTTGTAGGGTTTCTCTTTGCTGCACCGCTTCCGGTACGTGTTTGCGGATGTTGTATTTTTGGAACATCCGACTTCAGCCTCAATGCGCTACCATGTGAATCTAATCTGCTCAGGATCAGTAGTGCTGGCCGATGAAACTGAAACTAGATTAGAAATGGGACTGTTTTTCCTCCCAAGGCCGGCAAGCTCGCCCTCGATGACATCAACATTTTCCTGTCCTCCGATTGGTTGTTCTGAGTGTAACTTGTTCCAGCCAACTTTTTCTGGAAGAAACATGTCTGCATGTTTAGTAATCGGCATCAGTGGTGAGTGTCATACATCTAAAAATAATTTATGCTTTTGTCATGTTATTAGACAAATACTGATCGGGAACTGCTCCAAACAATGCACATGACACAGTTGCATGCTGCCACTTGAGTTTTTGTATCGGTCGTTTTAATGACGGCGACGAGATGGTATTAAAAATTGGATTCGTTCCCATGGAAGGCCCAGGTAACAACACAAAGTCTGCCGCCAGTATCGAGAAGACAATTGTGTTTTTAATTTACAGTATTATTTTCATTCCCCTTAATTAATGTCTTCTATATTGATGCTCACTATTTTATAATGCTCCAATGCTTCAAGCTAATCAAGGCGACAGAATAAGATCTTTCAGAATGTGACACTATCTGGGATCATGAGGCATACAGTGAAAGTTTAGTGGCCAGAGTTAATATTCTTGTTTCTTCACTTGCCTTCTGCATTGCCTCCTTGGCCTCTGCTCAGCATTAATAATTGAGAGCTTTTCATGCAGACATGATTCCGTTGCCATGAGCCTGTTGGTTTCCACATCTATAGCACTAAAACTTGGCCGACAGGCCTGTGTAAGGCACTGCACTAAGACTTCCGGCTAGGACACGCCTGTCTGACTGATATACAGTATACCACAGTGATATGGAGAAGGTGCACATGCAGCAGTTTTATTTTCACCACTGCACAGCTTAAGAAGCAAAGACAGCTTTTTGTTACTTGTGTTGAAAGGTCCGCCTTTGGGCCGAAGTCTTTCCAGTAGATATGTTCTTCACAGCACGACTTAAACCACAACTCTGGACTGAGACGTGTCATAAAATGCTTATCTTACATAAATTCCGACTAAGTACCATAAACATCTGCACTGGTGTTTAAGTGAGAAATTATATGGACTGTACAGGAGGGTACAAAAGTAGAGCACAGGAATGTGTATTTGCTTTCGCTATTTTAGCACATAAGTATAGTGGCTGGGGAGCATAAACAAAATCACAAACTCTGAAACTCTTTTACATTGCACAAAACAAATTTACATTTTAGAATACAAAAAGACACTGAATAAATTGAAGATTCAGAAAACACATTACATTTCAAAATACAAATTAATAAAACATAGAGATGGGTGGATGGATAGATAGATAGATAGATAGATAGATAGATAGATAGATAGATAGATAGATAGATAGATAGATGACTGACTATTTTAGATATGAGCTGTCATTCAGACGATTTATTTATGTATTTATTTTGCTTAGCCTTGCAAGCATAAATTTGAGATACAAGTGCTGTCTGGTAGCAGTGACTCAACTCACGTCACAGTAAGCAACACTTGGGCAAATAGTGAACAATCAAACACAAAGAGGGTTCAACCCGAACAAGAAACAGAGAGAATTACACTTTGTGTTTTTTTTCAACACCACTTAACCTTGAGTGCGCTAGCTTGGTGCTCATGCTTACACATAATGAGGAATCCACATGTAGCCTTCGAACACGCAGTGCAGAAACACACTGAGATCTTCAATATAAGAGTACTCACGTTTATATATTCCTTATCCTCTGCGAGGAGACAATACAACTATACAAATGCCCCGTACAATAATTTTCTGTTTAATACCGCCCTCAGGTGGCAAAGGCAAGCAGCAGTAGTACAATGGACATTCCACTGATGCCAAGTGTGACAAAGCTGTTTAATTATTAAATCATGCATGTGTGACGTTTCATAGACTATACAGTTTTTCATGTAGCTACTGTATATGAAAGCGATGTTAGATGCATGCATGGGCAGGCAACTAAAATTGTATACAGCTCCAACCACACGCTCCCTTGCTTACTTTATCTATGAGATGAAGACAGCAAGGGCAGCATGAAAGAGAAAGGAGCACTCTGGTCCTTGTCGCCTCAGGTGCAACAGCGACAGGGGTTGTTCCATGCCCTGTCGGGAGCATCTGACTGTTCTCTACCCCTTGACAGAAGGCTGACTCTGCCCTCACTCGCTTGATGTCGGACGCACGGGAAGAATATCGAGGGTGACAATTGTTGACGGTTTGTACAACAAGCAGGGAACAGGAGGCGCTTCTGTGCAAAGTGTGGATGTGCTGCATGCTGTGAACATCATTGCCCAGGATTCCAAACAGGGGCTGCAGCTTCATAGCTCATGTGAAATATATAATTGCTGATATTAGTCATCAGAGAGGTGGCCCCGACGGCGAGACTTGTACTTTGGTCAACATAAACAATATAACGAGGTAAAATGGGCAACACATGGGTTTTTTTTGGGGGGGGGGGGGGCTCAGGTGGCGTCCTCTGTCTGTGTTGTATAATGGGACACATGGATAGTTTGTCTTTTCAATGTCCTCTTCCTATGTCTCTTTTAACAACTCAAGCACTAAATGGATCTTTTACAATAAACAATTCTATCCATTCATCCATCCATTTTCCAATCTGATTCATCCTCACAAGAGTCGCGGGGGGTGCTGGTGCCTATTCCAGCTATCTTCGGGCAGTAGGCCCGAAGACACCCTGAACCAGTAGTACCCAATCGCAGGACACACAGACGAACAACCATCCGCACTCAAACTCACAACAAGGGACAATTTTGAGTCTTCAATCAGCCTGCCATGCATGTTTTTGGAATGTGGGAGGAAACCGGAGTTCCCGGAGAAAATCCACGCAGGCAGGGTGAGAACATGCAAACTCCTCACAGGGAGGCCGGAGCCAGGAATCGAACCCTGCACCTCTGCACTGTGAGGCCGATGCGCTAACAACTAGATGACCAGGCCGCCCAATAAACAATGCATTGAACATAAGTGTTTTGGTTGTGTGCTTACAATGCTTGAGTGAAAAAAGGAGCAATTATGGTACTTTAATGCCACTCGCACATGGGCAAGGAGAGGCACAGTTGCTGATGCACTTTCAGCCACTTATTGAGCGAGACAGTCAAATACAAAACCAAAATGAGAACACTCGCAATGAGCTGCTTGTAGGCCACACCTCATGCCCAGATGCTCACACCCAGACTAACCTACTCCAACGTTTGACGTCACTCACTAGGATGCACCTCTTCAAGGCACACAGCAATATTACATTACATAAAGTATGTACACCTTAGAAAACCACTTCATCTGAGTTTTGTTTGATCAAATTTGCCACATTTTAATGTAACATTGCTAACGTTATGAAATTTACCACATTATAAGGTGAAATTGATGACACTGTAATGTGACATTTCTCATGTTAAAAAGTGAAAGTGGTGAAGGGAATGAAGGAAAAAAAACAAATATAATCTAATCAAATCTAATCTCTGGTGACGGGCCATCACGCTGCCAATGTTATGCGATACATGCACACCTGTGAAAAGTTTGGTCTTGAAAAGTCCATGGAAAAGACACTGAAAGGTCATTTTGGCCTTTTGGACACTTATAATAAGCAACTGCAGTTTGTTCGTGTGACTAGTGCTCCTCTCATCACCATGTAAGGCGGCCCACTCCCCGTGGGCCATGAGCGGATTAGCGATGAGTGTCTGTGATGGGGAGCCCCCTGACAAAGGCTTTATTAATTAGGCTCGCATTGACTCTGGGCCCTCGGTAATATGCGGCACACGCTGACTTTGATCAAAAGTTTTCTCGCCGAGCTTCATCACATCTCGCGCTGCAATCCTCTGCATGATGTAAAACCGCCATGCGTGCAATGCGCCGGGGGTGTGTGCACGAGAGGGGAGGGGTGGAAAAGGAAAGTGGAGTTGCGGATGGAGGGGGTGAGCGTGCACCATTTTCAAATTGGTCAGGCAACTTTCACACATGGCTGACCAAGCGGCTATGCTGCACTTAAAACCAAGGAGCGACTGATTGATTGATTGATCACATAGGGAGGGGGCAAATCGTTTATAAATAGTCCACTAGTCTTTAGTGCGGATAAGCAGAAAATACACTGAAGGGTACTCACTCGACCTGCCGGTGCTTCAGAGGAGCATCTCCGTATCTCGCAGCCAGCTTCTGGGATGACTTCTCCCGGGACGAGGCGCCTTGAACATCGCTATGCTTCCTGGCCGGGCTCCAAACCTCCTTTATCGACTCTCAACGCTCATCGTGATTGTGTTCACCACGGAAGATGACAGCTGCTATGTTAACACACAAACATCTGATTTGGAGCCCTTTTTTTGTGGCCCGCAGTTGTCGGTCTCTGTGCTTGCAGCGAACAAGTGACAGCGGCTATTTGAAGGGATGCTGACGCGGAAGCTGAGGGGCTCGCCTCCTTCCTCCCTGCTCAGCCTCCATCAGCCTTGCAGCACCACGTGACCAAGAGCGGTAAGCACCTCGCTTCGCTTCCGGGTACGGCTTTCAAAATAAAACTTTTGCGGCGAGGGAAGGAGTGTAGTTTGGAGAAGCACAAACAATGCCGGGACGTAGCCAGGTGGGGGACTCATTTTAGGAGTTAGTTTTTACAAATTTGTGCGCCAAATTGAGTGTGGTATTTACTGCTGAACTGCAGCCAGACATTTTTTTGTTTCATTTTTTTGAATGCCAACGTTTACTTTTCATACATATTTGGCACTTTCAAGGAATAAGTTGAATGAATGATCAATCAACCAATCAGACTTAATGTTTCTAGCACTTTTCAAACATAACAGTTTAGTTTTTTTTTTATGGGGGGGAGGGGAATAACTCAACCCCTGTTTTTCATGGCAAACATTTATTGGAAGTTAACCTGATAAGCATTTTTTCCCCCAATGCATTTATATTTGGCGTCAATGACTCCTTACATGCAGTCAATAACCCTTTTAAAAAAAACGAATGTTGACAGGATTCAGATTTTTAAAGGCCATTTAAACACGGCAAAAACCCTAATATGCCCTTATTTGGATTTTTAAAAGTCTATAAAGGACTCCTGGGTTATCGGTTTTGTAACCCGAATATTGGGTAACCAAAACAGGACATTGATTTGTGTATTGCACATGCTCGTGCTCTATTCCCAAGGAATCTTTGTAGAACAGGAAGTATTTGTGTGCATGCCATTGTGACATGAATATACTGTAGTGTGTTTCATTGACGGTAGAATGTAACAAGCAAAAATGCCGTCTATTTGTATAAAACGTTCGTGCAATTCTGTTAAAATTGGGTTATCCAAATGTGGGAGTAATGCTATCTACTAGGGCATGTAGACGGTATATTCAGAATGTTTCCGAAACCAGAATTTTTACCTCAACCCTAGTATTGACTGCATGTAAACGGAGTCAAGGTGTCATTATTATCTTTTTTTTGTTTTAGCTTGTGTTTTTATACTTGACACAACGTTCTGCGGGACTGGTTAGCACATTCGCCTCACAGTGCAGAAGTATAATGTTCGATTCTGGCTCTGGCCTTCCTGTGTGGAGTTTGCATGTTCCCCCCATGCCTGTGTGGGTTTTGTATGGGCACTCCGGTTTCCTCCCACATTCCAAAAACATGCATGGCAGGCTGATTGAAGACTCAAAATTGTCCCGAGGTGTGAGCGTGAGCGTGAATGGTTGTTTGTCTATGTGTGCCCTGCAATTGACTGGCAACCAGTTCAGGGTGTGCCCCGCCTACTGCCCAAAGACTGCTGGGATAGGCTGCAGTGCATCCGTGACCCTCGTGAGGATAAGATGATTAGAAAATGGATGATTATTTTTAGTCGTAGTATTTTTTTTTCCATACATGCACAATTCTGCCCTTACTGTGTGGAGTTTGTTGTTCTCCCCAGACAGACTAATCCTAGACGAAAAAGTGAGGAACAAAACCAACATTAGTGGGCTAAACTTAAATCATGTTAAGTGAACACAAATCGTGGATCACAACTTCTGACGTTTATTTTGAAATCGACTAATATCCTTTATTCTTCCCCATATGAGGTTTGGCTTGACAGAATAGGAGGCATCCATTCACTTACATTCGACCGCAATCACACGGGCCTCCAAGCGACCAGGGTAAGGCATTACAACGAGTGCTCATTCAACTGCCGAAAAGCATGATGTCATTATCTCAGAGAATACTGAAGGCGAGCGGGGCTCTGCCAAGATTCATGGACGACACACTCATTTTCATTAATGATGCTGGTGGTGACGATTTTTGATTGTTGATCCCTACTGGAGCCTTGGAATAATTTTCAGAATGAAAACCGAATGCTCTGCCACAGTTTGAATGTATTTTTCATTTTACATTTAAGAAATAGGCAGACAACTGCAACTTCTTTGTGAATAGTTCCCACTTTAGTTTGCATAAAATGTTTCCTACTTCCAAGTCAGAGATGGAGGTAAACATTCCTAGAAGTTTTTTTTTTTTTGCACCGATTCTGAATTTGCACTCATTTTTTTCTGACACAACAGGTTTTAATAATAATAATAATAATAATAATAATAATATTATTATTAATAATAATAATAATCAAACCTAAAAACAAAAAAAGGAAAATCTCAAAACCCTGATGTGTTAGAAACAAAGTAAAGCCATCTTTTAAATCTGCGTCAAAAATATGTTGTCGGACACATAAAGCCATCCTTGATTCAAATTCACTGTTGTGCAGTGTTGGTATTTGGCTTTCACCTTAATCCCTTTCAGTCAGCAATTGCCACAGCAATGGCACAGTTTTTACACCAAATGCGCTTCTTGACACAACCCACCCACTGGGAAATGGTAAACAGTATAAAGGTTGTGGCCAAGGGACCAAACTGGAAGCTACCGTACACCCTGATCAGGATTTCATACCAAGTCGCCAGCGTCCGAAGTTAGGATGCTACACATTAAGATATCTAGTAACCACTGCTGCTGACCAGTATACTTAATTGATTTTCAAGTGAAGACACAAAGGGCACACAAAGACAAACATTCACGCTCACGCTCACACCTACAGACATTTTAGATCGTTCAATTAACCTACCGTATGTGTTTTTGGAATGTGGGAGGAAACTAGAGTACTTGGAGAAAACCCGCACGGGCATGGAGAGGACATGGAAACTCCACGCAGAACGGCCGGGGCCAGAATCGAACCCTGCACCTCTGTACTGTGAGGCCGACGTGCTAACCAGTCGATCATCGTGCCCATTTGAATGATTTCTCACAATAATTAGGAAATGGATAAAGATCGAGAAGTAACACTTTATTTCTATAAATTGCTGCCGTTGTTTACATTTTCAAACGATCATGTCTACAATATTCCTAGAAAATCACAATGTCCCATCAGTGGAAAGCTATTTCTAGAATAGGTCTGTGGGTTACTCATGTGGTCCTTGAGGGCTACTTTATTTAGATCCACTGTGATCTATAAGTGCTTCATATGTAAATGCAAACAGGGACGCTGTTGAAATTGTGCTCATACGACTCATATGATTTGCAACTATATAAACATCAACTAATGTCTATATTTTCAAAATGCACATGTCATTATTTGCACGAACACAATGGGAACATTTTGGAATCGTTATTTATATGGGTCTGGCCTGTTTGAGATTGGGGCCCCGGAACTAAAATGACCTTGACACCGCTCCTGCAAGCTAAAGTTTGAATGCACAATTTTGTGACATAGTTGAAGATTGAATTCATTGGTGCTCTTTTGTCTCCAGTGGCCTCAGAATAAAACAACAAACAAAATCTTCCTGATTGTTCTTGCATGGCAAAATGTGCCTGATTTTGTTTGAGCGTGTTTATGTAAGAGCGGAAACACTGAGAGGCCAAATAAACCGACCGAGGGTCGAATAAAAGCGATTGCATTAGACACCCGAACAAGGGAAAAAGCCTGGTCCTTTTGAGGTCGCTTCGACTATTGTCGTCCACTCTGAGCCAGACTGCTGGGTCTCCATCACAATGCGGGTCCCCTGAGAGCAGAACGCCACTGGCTGTCCTATCGCTTCACATTAGCGTCTTTGCAGAGAATGGCGGCCCCGCGAGGGGACTTGGACACACTTGTCATGAAAGAAGAGCTGTGGACACACACCCACACACGCAGTCATACACACATGCACAGTGTGAGTATAGGAGGTGCTGGCCAAACTGATTAAACCTAAGGAGAGCTTCCAACAAGGCTTCCGATGGAACTTGAATGGTGACCTTATTTTAGCCACTCCTCTCGAGTAGGACTGCAGGAACCACTCACACAAAGTACACATTCACAAAATATACTCTCAGAACATATGCAGGAAGGGAAGAAGGAGCAGCCGAATTAATGCGGTCGCGTGCTTAATGAGCCGCAGCCTATACGGTTTATGAAATCTCCTCAAAGGTATCAAGTGCACACAGTGGCTTATAAAAGTCAACACATCCTTGCTCAAATGCCAGGTTTTGTGATATAAAAACGGAGACCAAGTGAAAGTGTTTGTCAACTTATCCCACTAGAATATGACCTATAACCTCTCACATTAACTGAAAAACTAATTCTTTTCGTGAAAGAAAGTAAAAATAAGAAAATGAAATCATGATGTAAAAGTGTGAAGACAGTTTAAGCAAAATGTGGCTTTATTCAGAATGAACCCATCACATTCAAACTCACGTTAAATGGGAGTCAGCATACATCTGTCACTCATGTTTTTGAATAACACGAGATAAAGTTCATCTCAGTTGTAGTAGGCTTTTCCTGACAATTTTTGGATGCTTTCCAGTAGAGGCCTGGAGGTTTTGAGCTAACTCTGGCTGCTATTTCAAACTGTTCATAATCCCCCTCCCCCCACCCCATCTTCACCAAAGCCCCAGTTCCAGATGACAACCTGAAACATGATGCTGCTACCACTACACTTCACTGTAGGTACAGTGTTCCTTTGAAGAGGATGATGATGCGGAATTGGGGCCAAAAAGTTAAACCTTAATTTCATCAAACCATCACAAAATATTACAAATGGAATTGGGAAAATGTGCTATGGCTTGATGAAACCAAGATTTAACTTATAGATTCCAAAGGATGGATTTTGGAAGAAATTCCAGTGCTTTCTATCATATATATATATATATATATATATACATTTTTTTTTTTTTTTTAAAAAGGAGGAGCAATTCCTTTTCGACACATCATTAAAGAATTCTCACAGGCACATTCTGTATTCTTTCTCCTCCACATAAAGGCCATGATCATGCGTGGCAGGTTGATGGAACACTCTAAATTGTCCCTAAGTGTGACTGTGAGCACGGATGCTTGTTTATCTATGTGTGCCCTGCGATTTGCTGGCAACCGATTCAGGGTGTATTCCACCGATTGCCCGAAGACGGCTGGGATTGGCCCCAGCGTGACCCTTGTGAGAATAAGCGGATCAGAAAATAGATGGATGGAAGATGGGGAAAAGCTATTCATAATATTAACCAGCGCAGCGTTTACCCATTTTTTCTGGATTTTTTTTTTCGGATATGAAGCAGTTAGTTAGATGTGTATACTTTCCATGGTTCTCCGTCTTCATTTGAGACAGACAGGCAGACAGACAGACAAACAGACAGACAGGCAGACAAACATTTAATTCTTGACATTTTCTCTAACATTATCGCTGTATTTGATTTCGTGATTAAAGGACGTGAATGTGCAGGTTTCAGTGAATGTAAAACATGTGTTTCACTTTATTACCACAAGATGGCGCCACTTTTCCATTCTCAAATTGAGAATACTGTAGTTCAGTGGTCCTCAACTAGAAATGCTGTAGGGCCACTTTTTTTTTTTTTAATAAGACCAAGGTCCGGTCCCATGCACGGCGGTCATGGGGAGCAGGGCTATATGCCCATTTAGTATGGTTAAGCCAAGCTTATACAAATCAACACTCCTCACTACCAACCAATAATGGGGTGCATGAAAATAACAATTATTCACTTTGCCAGTACACAGCAAATAATGAGAGGTATTGTGTTGAGGCACAGGAACTCTTTTATTTTGTTAAGTTGTGCCTGCTTAATAATAGAAATAGCCCTTTTAGGGAAATAAGACAATTTTTACTTTAACTTTGTTAAACAGTAG